GATATCGTCCTCTTTTGGAAGGCCAAACAAAGTAGTTTCGCTTTCACAATGAAACACACAGCATCTCCACAATATGGTGGCGGCGGCAACAATACTACAGCGAGAATAAAAGTTACGCCTTCTTTCTTTGTGTGAACATTTGGGAAGTGTTATGCAAATCTTCCCACATTGTGACGTAGACATGTGGGGGCGTGTTAGAACGAGACATTTTAGGTAGGCGTGGTTGACTCCTAACTTTTATAAAGAATCTCTCTTTGGATTTGAGACTTTAGTCTTTGCAAATTTACAGATCTTCTTTATGCACCAAGAGCTTGTAACACTCCAAAGAGAAAGAAAAAATTTAAATCGCATCATATGACCCCTTTAATAGTGTTACAAATTCACACCATGCTTATGTTTTGCACATGAAACTTCTGTTGAAGCGCCACAACACAGCGAGCCGCACAATGATATCACTCGTCCTGTAGGAAAAGATGTATTTAAACAGGAAAGAGAGCGGAAGAAAATAAGAAAGCGAGCAATGAAGCATTTCTGCCCTTTTAATGCGGTAACCTTTGCTGGCGTGCCTGTGGGTGGAGAGGCTTTCACCATAGCAACACTAATAGGGAACTGTGTGCTGTAATGGAGGGTTGAGTGACAGGAAGCATGCTCGTCTCTCTCTTGTTCGCTTTCGTCAGGGCTTTGGCATTGTCTGACCTTTCAACCACTGAAGGCAGAGAGTCCTGTTGATTGGACGGCTGCGTTCTGTGGTCTAATTTAGTAGTGAGCTCATTCATGCAACAAACATGTGGAAAAACTGTCTGTCTGCATGGACACACACAGACACAAACCCACATCCTATGTACTGAAAAGGTTTTGTGATGGGAAAGGTATTCCTTTGTGCACACTTGTTTAATTACATATCTAAATGAGGATTTATCATTGCCTTCTACTGTTTTTAAACAAAGCAAATTATGAATTACTATAAACTAAAAAATAAGATTCTGCCATATTTGCTTACGGTCACTTTAAGCAAACTTTTCTATCCCCAGGATTGTTTTCAAACTAAAAAATGTAAACTTGATTATCTATATTTACTGTGTAAAAATTTGTAAAAGAAAA